CTACTTCATTTCCCCATATTGCATTAGTTTAATTTCTTATCTAAAAACTGAATCCAAATAAATATTTATTGAGTGTGTCAAAATAATATATTATACATAAACGATAATACGATACAGTACAAGTTTTTCAGTATTTTATAATATTTATGTAGAGTAAATGAATGATGTTAATTCTACTGATAGTAATGCGCTCTTTCCCTATCTCCTCTATCTCACATAAACTACGGAATGACCAATAGAGTCACTTACAATCATAAGATTCTATTGCATTTATTTTTACCTATCAATAGTGTGCAATAAAGAAGATAGGTATACTAATCCGCATTCATTTTCATCACCACCAATACAAGGAACTTGAAAATGTCCATAAAGCGATAATGACTCTATCGGCAATCATCGATCGTACATATTAACTAGAAACAAAGAAACAAAGATGTTTTTTCTTTAAACATGCACGATTGATGAATCAAGATGAGACCCAAGCGCCAAAAGTGTGGAAAATGTCATTCGATTTCCTTGATATGATTAATACTGTGATGGAAATTCACGTTAAGAGCATATTACTAAGCATCTATCCGAACTCAGATCTAAACAATCTTCCACAGTTTACAAAAGACCTAAAATAGAACATGACCCAACTCAAATGAAGTATTTAAAACACTATTACAATATAGCTACAATCAGCTAGCATAGAAATCGATAACAGCCAAATGTGGTATTTTGATTTTCAGACATCTTTTGAGAGTAAAATAAAAACCAATTTTTAACGGACGTTTTTTTAAAAACAATTTTTTACCAAAATATTCATAATCTCAAATCGTTGAATTTTTATACATTCAATTTAACTGAAAATTTTGATAAACAATGTTTTTCTAACTGATTTTATAGTCTAGATATGAATAAACACCGATTTTTAATTGAAACCATTTCATTAAAACCTTTTCGAAAAAATCGAAAACGAAAAAATAAACAAAGGCAAACACTTGATTGGTTAGGTTTAATTTGAGAAGAAAAAAAAATAGACTAGTTTATAAGTAACACGAGACAAACTTTGACCGTACTAATATTGTATATTGTGCTGTTAATTTTTTTAGATCAGTCTATATGTTTGCCCCCAGCATCCAATGGAAATCGAAATGTTCTCCTCTTAATACACAAATTATTTAATTTTTATTATTTAAATGGCTGTATTAAGTTTAATTTTAATTATTATATATATTAAACAAAGGAAAGATCCAAAAAAAATCTATTTGAATTGATTTGATAAAAATAGATTAGCGCATGACAAAAAAAACCAAATCGATTTCGAACAAAAAAAAAAACAATTTTTTTTAGAAGATGTTTAGGAAAAGCCACAACGATCAATAATTTCTACTTATTTGCCACACTATTTGTAGAACTTGTATCCGTTTCACGAGCATTTAAAGCATATTTCACGGAATCTAGCATTAATTCGCTGTTAGAACCAGAGCATAAAACATATACAATGAAATCTTTTGTATCGATTGAATTTCAAGGAAGCGATCAATAGCTAATTAACTATAGAAATGCACTCAAATAATTAACATTTTGACAAAACAATCGTCAATCGTAAGATTCACCGTTGATAAAACTTTCTCTTTCTCTTTTTACCTAAGTCAGCAAGAAGGAAACAAAAATTACGGAAAACTGAGATAACATAAAACACCCCAAAATCTAATTAATATAAAAGATTTCACTGTAAATAATAAGTTAAGTATTAAACGATTAGAAAATTTGACGTTTCATTTTAGAAATTAAAAAAAAATGATATTGTTGTAATTACAAAGAAAAACATTCATCAATATACATATATTAAAGAAAATAATTCAACGATCGATAAAAAGAGATAGATAATAATTGAATACCATAGCTTCAGTATCACATGAAAATTCATTGTGAAATTAAAAATGAACTAAAGTAATTGAAGGTATAATGAAAATGAAACAACTCTGGCATACATACACATTACGCCAACATATAAAGGCTTCATAGTGTTTTCGTCGAAGGCTTATTTGCAAATCAAAATGCTTATTTTGGTTCAAGTTTTCGAACATTTACGGCTGATTATCCCATTGTCACTAAATTAATCAGCTGATGATTAGATTTTAATTTACAATTGTAATGAACACAACAAATATAAAAATAAAGATTAAAAATTAAAAAAAATTAATTGAAAAATTTTCCTCGCACACTATGCTTTTCAGATATGTGCAAAAGTTTTCTGTATTATGTTAAAACAATATCAAAAATCTCTCTAAATCATTAACATGATGATGATTTTCTCGATTCCGAACTAGATTCTGAAGATTTGCGGAAGCATTTATGAAAAGTTCTCTCAGCAAGTTTGGAGACTCACCACTGCTGGTCACCAGCTATCCTAATCGGTCTAAATTTAAAACTGTAAACTGCATTTTTGGAACTTTTCTTATATAACTGCCTTCATATATGGTAAAAATAAAGAAAGAGAAATATATGCATTGTTTTATTTGAACATTTTTACAGTTGAAAAAAACGAAACAACTATTATCAATATACGTTCAATTTCAGTATTTCATATCAAATAAAAAACCTCTATCGAGGTGAAGAACGAGTGACGAAACCAAAATTTAAAACACAACATTTCTGATATCAATTCTGTGACGAAAATAGTTGGTAGATATATTTTCTGTGTACTGTGACTATAAACTTAATATACATTTGTATATTCGAAACGTTGCAGATTAGTTAGATTATTTTTGGATCAAAATCATATAAATTGTGGCTCATAATGGGGAAAAGTGGTTTTTTCTGTGGTGTGTGGTATGCATTTTTTTTTCATCTTTGACTTGGGGCTTAAATTGATGAAATTTTGTGCAGTCTTTTTCGAAAAAATGGCCGTAATGTATGCGGCCAACGGTCAATTTTTGGTTTTTGGCCAATTTGGCCACCCCCACATGAAATTTTTAAGAGACTATCAAACATGTAGTTATTTGTGGTTAAAATGTCATATTTCATACATCTAGACATTTTTGTGAAAATTGAATTTTGGTACATTTGGCCGAATTTTTGGTGGGATAGCCATTAAAAACGGTCGATATTTTGTTCATTTTTGTTTGGCCAGTCACAGAGCATATTTACAGAGTCATTGGAACACATTTTGGCCCATAAAATACTTTACATTTTAAAACTCCCATTTTTGGCCATATTTGCACTAAAAAAGGCCATATCGTGAAGACAAGAATTTCTAGGGATATAAGCTATATGGCATTTTGAAACTTAGACTTGGGCCTTAAAATCGGTGAAATTTTCAAGTGACCAAGTAAGACTAGTTTTCGAGCTAATGATCATTATGTGTCCGGCCAAACAGTAACCTTTTGGTTTTTGGCCAATTTGGCCACTCCAACTTGAAATTTTTGGACCGCAAATGGCACCATTCGATAGCTCACTTCAAGACCTTTCCAACGAGGTGCATATTTCCGGGGTGTGTCAAGTGTATGTGCCTCGGTGTCTGTAGGGACAAAAGTCAAAAAGTTACTTTTGGAGGCCGGCCACGGTCAACATGGTGGCCAAATCGAAAAGTGCCGGAACAAAAAAGTCTTAGTTTTTTATGTTCTTTAATCACAGAAAGTTTCGAAAAGATTAGAAACAACTACGCAAAATTGGCCACAGACAGACAGACATTTTGATTTTTCATAGGAATTTATATGAAATTTTTAAAATAATAAATTTTTCGAACGAACGGATTGATCGATTTCGACGGTTAGGAAGTCATTGGAAAGGTATTGAGCTCTAGAATTCGAATATCGATGTTTCAGGGGTCAACGACCTCATTTAGGGCCATCTATGGCCGTAGATCTGAATTATGACCCTTTTCTTGAAAGGACCATATTTTGAAGACAGGTGGACCGATTTCCGAACTTTGACATTTTTTCTTGATCTATGACCCAAGGCCTTTCCAACCATACATCAATTGGGGCGAAAGGCCTTCTAGGTCTGGATTTCGTATATTACGTGTATATATAGCGAGTTCGACTTTTCAACACACTAATGTGGTTTCGTCCTCGCGCAAACTGCTGTGATGGAAATGAGTAAGAAAGACTTCTTATTCTGATACAAAATTTAACGTCATTTCATTAGATAAAATGCGAACGTTTGCGGAAACAATGGTAATTTTTTTTAGAAATTTCAGTTTTATATCAGAATAAGAAGTCTTTTCTTTACTCATTTCCATGTGATTAACTGATACAGTATGTTCAACAACAACAATAATAATTTTTCTGTATCACCAAGTGACGCAATACCAACATACATATGAAATATATGTATATATGCGTCACTCTATATATACTGTAAAGAAATGAAAATCGATACCGCTGACTTTTGGAAAAGGATTTTGTCATCAACATAACCACTTAAGTGAAACGCGCGAAACAACAGTATCATCATCATCGTCGTCATCATCATCAGCAGAAACACAACAATGAACACCACTTAACTATGCCATAACCAGCGACGAAATTTTCAACGAATTGAATTCATGCACTGATTTGATTACGAAATTCACGCGCACTTTTAAAAGCCACCACAAATCACTAATTATCATAATTGCATACGGTTTGTTTGTCGGTGTATTGTGTAAGCAAGAACTACCAACGCGTATGCATTATAGATACACAAAAGAAAAACAACAACAATTTGTAATAGAATTTAAAATGAATCAATTTTATAATAATATATCCACAAGCATATTTTTGTTTTATTTTATTTTTATTCAATTTTAAACATAATCCATATATTTAAAAACGATTTTTTCAATATTTCATATAAAATAGTAATTATGTTGATTAAATTGTCGATTGCACTAAAAATGGTGTCTATTTCTGGTTGCCCCGCAAAAGAATTGTTGTTAAAGGTGTGTTGATTATAGAAGAGCGTCAGCCATGCGCTGCGAGTAAAAGTAGCTAGTAATAGTAACAAAGAAATCTTATGAGCTACCAATATTATGCCGATATATTTGCGTCCAATGTGTCAACAATTGAATCGGCTATCAACACTGAACTGGTGGAGAAAAATGAACCAAATATTGCTCCACCCACATAGTAAATAAATAGGCCAAGCATCAAAAATCGAACGAATCGATCGACACAGTACATTCTGTAAATCGAAATGTGCATTGATTTAATTGATTGAATTATAAAATAGGCTTGAGGGAGAAAAAGAAAATTTCTAAAAACGTTCAGTGACCGGTTCGCGCATATTTCTATGCCTGATAGCTATGCTAAGCATAGCGGAGACGCAAGCCGCAACGCACCCGTCACCATTCGATTCGAGCTATATTGTATGCGCACGGTCGTCTGCATAAACGAACATGTGTATTGTTCATATAGAGTGAACGGCGATGCGTCGGTTGCGTTTGCGGCTATGCTTGGCATATCTATGCTACCTAGCGTATTTAGGCAAGCATAGAAATATGCGCGAACCGGTCACTGAAAACGTTAAAAAAGCATAATAATAACAACATTAAATGAATAATTTCATGTGGTGTATTATTTATGGCAAATCGGTTGCACTCGATATACATACGTTTATCCTCAATAGCGTAGCGGTTTGCTTCGATTTCATTAATTATTGTACGCATATACAGTACATTGCTGTTGTCAAAGTCCCATTGATTGTTTGCATAGTATTCGAATACATCGAAACCTTTTTGGATTCTTCGTTGAACCCGGCACAGTCTGTTTTTATGTGAATGAGAGAACATTGACATTTAATTAATTGGCCAATTATCATTGTAATGGTAAAATATGAAACAAAACAAGCGAAACAAACAAAAGGAAGAGAAGACACACAGAAAGTGGAAAACCCTCGAAAACTAATCTTATTTTTTCATTATGCTGTTGTTATTGTACCACACGAATACCTGTTCAATACACAGGCGTATATCGAAGACAGAACAATAAGCAATCGATCAGAATAGCTGGAATCCAATGGAATAGTATACAACAGATGTTATGATGCAAGCGATTACTCTTCATTGAACCGCCTGGATACCAAACAACGCCATTTAGTGGCAATTTGTTACAAATTATCCAACGACCACAATCAATCAATTCTTTCCAAGACACTTTGATTTCGGCTGAACTCACCAAATGATAAACACGTCGATCGTAATCTCTGTGCAATTTGCAAAACGAAAAGAATTTACAATGAAAAATGAAATGCAAATGAAACGAATTTACATACTTGTTGTAGACGAAATTCCATGACGAAATCATGATTCCATTAACGGCATAATCAACCGGCAAATAGTCACCATAACTGCTTGAATTGCAATACATCGAACGAAGTACACCTTTACCAGCGCCAATAAGCAAACCAGTGGGTCCGTTAATATTATCGGTCCAACCTAATGAATAAATGAAAATAGTCAATAAATGAATTCCACTTTTAATTTAATGTTTTTCTGTCCAACCTGGGATCGGTTCATATCGAATCGGAATTACAATTGACGGACGCATTATAACAGCTGGCATTTCATTCATTTGTTCGATAACCAATGCTTCCGATAAACACTTTGTGAACGCATATGTATTTGGAAATCCGCCCAAAATTCTACAAAAAAAATACAACAGACCAATGCATTTTTGATAAGAAGAATAAGAAGAAGAAGAAGAACGGGGTGTATAAGCAATAATTGACATTAGACAAAATACTCACTGTTTGGTCACCGTATGCACAATATCCTCGTCAAGCCATTCAATCGATTTAATGATTCGATGTGGATCAGCTGGTGCTGGATATGGTTTTTCCATGAGTAATCTTTCATTCAAGTGACAGTATGATGTCGATACATAGCAAAATAGCTGCAGAAAACATCAAATAATTGATAAATTATCGAAAAGTTTGGTGTTGGAATGGAAAAATGGCAATTGTTGTACTATAAAGTGACAATTTTCAATCCATTTTTTTTGCTTACCGCCAATTTCTTGAATGTTTTACTCAGTTCGAGCATTAGTTTCATGGGGCGAATCACGCTAGTAAATACTAGAAAAACTAGTAAATCTAGTGCGAATAATGACGTCACAAACGAAGCCAACTTCACACCAAAGGCCATATAATTTATATGAAAAACTACTGAGAGCCAACTTCACGCACTAGAATTTTCTAGTTTTCTAGTGAAGTCTTATTAAAAACTAGATACACTAGAATTTCGTGATTGACCCCATGATTAGTTTGGTGCCACGGGTATTCAGCAAAACAGCACGCTTCAATGTTTCGTCGAAACGAACGGTGGCAGCACAATGATAAACAATTGAAACATTTTCAGCTAACAATTTTCGATCGTCATCCGAGATGCCCAAATCAGGTAACGAACAATCACCGGAAATCACATGACATTGATTAACGATTGTGTCCAGTCCTCGAGTTTCTTTCAATCCGTCAAATAACTAGAAAAAAACAGTGAAAACATTTTTAACTCTGTGCACATTTTTTTTTTTGAAACAACAAATAACTTTTACTTAAATTGAAATACGAAAATCGAAAATTTCAAAACAAATGCAATCAATTGATTTATAAAATGTCAGTAATTTCTATTGACGAATTAGTTATCATGATTCATGACGAATATTGGCGATGGCGATGCAAAATATTGAGAAAACAAACTAATATTTCAAGGAATCAAACTGACTGGAGTCAAATTGAATGAAATTGAGATATATTTCTTGTGTTGGCACGTTTTTTTTAAATGTGAAACAGAGAATTGTAGCCGAATAAATCACGTAATTTTGATATGCTGTCAAAATAAAAGAGAAATTCACAAAATTCCATGGTTCAAAAGACAATACATACATTGCCAATAAATAAGATTATACAGCAATCTCGTCAATGGCCGAGAACTGTTGTTAACTTATAAAACCTAATTAAACATCAATTAATATGTATATAATTTAATAATAAACGGCCTTCTTCACATCGGCTTTGAATCAATTTCCATTCGATTACGAAATAGGCACGATATATGAGCACCAAATCCATTGAAATGTTCATCTAATTTTTAACAATTATAACATTGATAATGCACATTAGCCTTGGATATTTCATCTTTTTTTCTTCTCTCAATTCATTGCCGTCCATTGAATGACAGTTACCATCGGTTGGAGAAAAAAAATGTGCAACAATGTCTTATGACCAGACAATGTGAAATTTGAATGTTGAACTGTTAATGTCAACAACACTATTACAAACTAATCGTATCGGTATAATAATCGTATGGCACTTTGCGGAAGCCTTTGCAGATTCTGCCTTTTCAAGTGCGAATTTTGATCCAAATCATTTATGAAAGGTTCTCTCAGCAATTTTTGATACTCACCAGCTATCCTAATCGGTCTAAATTTAAAACTGTACACTGCATTTTTGGAACTTTTCTTATATAACTGCCTTCATATATGGTAAAAATAAAGAAAGAGAAATATATGCATTGTTTTATTTGAACATTTTTACAGTTGAAAAAAACGAAACAACTATTATCAATATACGTTCAATTTCAGTATTTCATATGGAAATGAGTAAGAAGGACTTCTTATTCTGATACAAAATTTAACGTCATTTCATTAGATAAAATGCGAACGTTTGCGGAAACAATGGTAATTTTTTTTTAGAAATTTCAGTTTTATATCAGAATAAGAAGTCTTTTCTTTACTCATTTCCATGTGATTAACTGATACAGTATGTTCAACAACAACAATAATAATTTTTCTGTATTTGAATACATTGTCCTTTGAATAATTTTTGAATTTTTCATTGAAATTGGTCTTTTGATAAAACACGCTACAATGGTGAGTATATTAAATATATCAAAATGACCAAAAAAAACCAGTTGAAATGACACCCTTTTTACTCTATTTTCAAAAAAATGTAAGAAATGTTGACGATACATACGATTATTAATTTTTAATTGTATATTATTCAAGAAATTCTTTAGAAAAACATCATTTTTGCCAAATTTATTTGAATTTATTTTATTAGTTGCCATCAGAGTGTTATCCATACAATATTGAGGGCTAGCTATCTATAAAATCTGTTAAACGTTTCAAACAATGAGACCATTTGTATGTCCAGCATACACAGCATCCGAGCGAAGACGTGCGTTAAATATCAGCTATTTATATATTTCTATAGCAATAGCTGATATAGATAGCTAGCAACTTTGTATGGTTTTATCAATTGTAGCTGTTGAATAAGAAAAACAAAACATACACATGTATAAACCATAACAACAGAGCAATACATGAGCGCACTACTCAGCTTCGTCTCTATGATGTATACTTTAAGCGCAAATGTGCATGTGATGATTGTGAATCTCTTCGTTCTTTCAGCTACTTTACCTTCCACTGTATCTTTGCTCAGCGAAATCAATGACAAGCAATAAATAGAATTCGAACAAACTATTGAATCAGTACTTTAATTAAGGATTTTTTCCAAATATTCTGGATTAGAATGGAACGCTTATTGATTTTCCAGTGTTTTGTGTGACTTTCTTCGATTCTGTACGGCTAACTAATTTTCGTATATACCTCTTGATAGTAACTATTAAAACTAAAAATAATTAATTCTATTTTCAAATTCTGAAATTATTCTGTATAAAAAATAATTTATTTTGATATCATTAGAGTGAATCGCCTCTAGATTATTTCTATTGTCATTTGGAATGGATACTGGATAGTTAATTGTGATAATCTAATATTGAATAACTCAAGACATACTTAATAAATGTTATGTTAAAGTATTACTTCACAATGACAACTGAAGTGGAAAGATATTTTTAGGTAGTGCATAATTTACATAAAGTGACAAAGAACTAACAACACAGTTTTTTCATAAATATAAAAGAACCAAAAGAAGAAACTATGGATCAAGAAAATATTCGGATAGATTTCATTCAAAGAGAGAGAAAACGCAAAATGATTGGTATTTTTGCCGGCATTTTGTTTTTCTTAATACTTGTTGTAATCATTTTTGTATTTGCATTTACTGGAAATTCAACTTTGAAATCTCCACCACTTCGTGATGGAAAATTCATCAAAGCTGTTACATCTTGTGGTCCTGTTGAAGGTGTTTTAGAAGATTCAGCGTATGCCTTCCGAGGTATTCCATACGCCGTGCCACCATTGAATGAAAAACGATTCAAACCGGCTGAATCACCCGAGCGACCTGAAGATTGCTGGAATGGTACACTGAAAGCGCATAATGCTGCTCAAGTTTGTTTGCAACTTTTAGCCAACGGTGCTTATGATGGAACCGAAGATTGTCTAAATCTCGATGTAGTCACACCATATGT